TATATACATACATACATACATATATATATACATACATATACATACACACACACACACACACACACACACACACACACACACACACGATTATAAATGAACGGGTCTATGCAGAGAAGGAGGGGAAAGCAGTAGAGTGTGTGATGGATCCTTACCATGAGCCAGATGGGGTAAGGCACCTTTCTGAGAACATGTGGAGCCTCAGAGGAGACTGAAGACACCCCGCTGCACCAGAGCACAGAGTACAGCCAGGGTTCATTGACCGTGAAGAGGATGAGGTTGATGTGGCTCTCGGAAAAGTTCCTGAAAACAATCACACATATCCAAAACACATTTTTTGAATATAATCATTGTGTGAAGTGGTCAACCTGTCAGGTTTTTGTGTTCCTACCTGATTTCCTGCATGCTGGCCTGGTTGTATCTAAGCATCAGCCTGTTGATGCCGTACTGATGGAGACTTTCGGGACTTTGTTTCTCCAGTGAGGTCTGGATCAGACCAGGAGCCAGCCGTTTCACCTGAGCTCTGTGCTCATCTGGAGTCCACATCACCTACACACAGCGAAATACAAATACACAATTTGTATTTTTGAAGCTTTGTGTCAAACAAACTGTGTTAAATTATATCTCGTAATATTAATCCACACTTTAGACCATGATGTTTGCATAGAATATGTTAACAGCCACACAAACTGTGGAGAGAACTAAAAGCAATTCATGTGTATCAAAATGTTTTATTGCTATACTCCTACAGTACCAGGCTCTGAGGAGTCCCAGATTGCTGCACAGCTTGCAGTGTATCATTGATCCAGCTGTGGTAGCAGGGGTGCTCTGGAGGAGGTCTCCTGACCCTGAAGACCACTGTGGTGTTATGAAAGGAAGCCAGCTTGAGGAGCTGCTCCAGGCTGCACACCTTCTGGTTAGCAATCAGATCCTTCTCATGTGGGGACAGTGTGTGCACTGTCCAGAAAGGGTCATTCTGGAACACAGGGACAGAGTGAGAACAGAGATATGTGTTCAGGGGTAGCTCTGGTGGTACTGTTTAAATTATTACTAAAACAACAAGTTAATAACAAAATCACAATGCCACAATTAAATTGTGGTTCTTAAAAGTGTTGAAAAATATGTGCACATTCAGCATCCTAATAAGATCTTCAAATAAAACCATGCATGCAACTACTGAGGGAAGGAGGTTGTTGCTCAAATACTTATGTTCAGCAGTGCAAGACAAATAAATTCTTTAAAAATCATACAATGTGATTTCCTGAAATGTTTTTTTAATTCTGTCTCTCAGAGTGGGAATGCACCTACAATGTGAATTTCAGACCCCTCCATGATTTCTAAGTGGGAGAACTTGCAAAATCGCAGAGTGTTCAAATACTTCTGTTCCTCACTATACATCATGTTGTTTGGTTCAATTTTGTGACTGAAAAACACTTTAGATTTGTCTTTGTCATCGTATTACACAGGGCATATTAGGGACATGTCTGAGCATACAAACTGTGACAGGGACTTGTCATAATGATACACAAACAGTTAAGACTTTTTAGACTACAGTGTCCAGCCACAATGAGCACATATGCAATGCAAGTAGACTGAGGAGGGAGAGTAGAGAAAGTAAAGTAGAGTCAAACAAATACTGACACAGCTAAGTGTCTTTGTAAGATTCAGAAGAAATATATATTTAAATATTATAAAGTAACTCTAAATCTACTCTAAGCACAAACATTTGCAGAAAAAAATTAGACTAAATGAAACAACTGCCATAACATTTTGAATGAGTGGAAAAATATTCAAATACTAGAGTGCACTGTCAAATTATTTAAGTGGAACACTGGAAAGTAGCACAGTGCACAAAAAGCAACCTATCAGTGTCTCTGCATCTTGCCCCATATTCTGTAGTAACAGAACATGCATATAGATGAATGAAGCAGCTAAAATGAGCATAAAAAATAAACAAAGGAATAACTGGGTACCTGAAAAGGAAGTAATTCACCTACTCCTGGATTGTTTGTCAATATCTTTACATGACGAAACACTTTTTGGAAGCATTAGTTGACTCTGACCTTCTCTGCATAAGGATATCGTCCCTCAAGCTACCAATCTCAGTATTTAGAAGATTTCAAGAAGATCAGTGAGAATGACAGTATACTCATGACTCAGTGGGCTAATGACCTTAATCACACACCACTGCATCATGCTGAAAGCTCAAGCAGCTTCAAAATTATCCCTAAATTTGGTCCGCATTAGCAACCAAGAGCTACCTGGAGGAACCACTGTCCTGCGTTGAGCTGCTGCAGATCTGTCCAGTTGAAGAACGAGGTTTCAACCAGCTGTCTGTCCGGGAAAACCTTCTCCACATCTGTGGTCCTCCACAGGGTATGGTCATGCATCAGGAAAGGCACTCCATCCACACTAGTGGTGAGAGGTTTAGAGGATGTCAGAACAGAAGAGAAAGTATAGATGAACAGAATTAATTTAGAAAGTTTCAATTTCTAGCACGTAGCAGCTTCAACACCATTTGCCATGGCATGGATTACCCCCTTACAGTTCAATAGTTGGACTGATGATTTCTGTTAAACATTAATGAGAAGTGATGTTGATGCAACCCAACTGACATAAAATACAGAATCACCCAACTATTGCCGCACACTCTTTTAATCACAACTCAGACTGAGCTGCCGTTCAGTCAAAAGGCTGACCCAATGTGACTTGTTTTTAGTTCGTGCTTAGTAGAGGAATAAAACCTCTCAGAAGGATGTTAGAAAAGAGCAGAAGAGACATGAGTTGGCTGGAGGGTAAAGTCCTGAAATAATTTCAGACAAGAGCAAAAGAGAAAAGGGCAGGAGAAGAGACAAGTCAAGAGTTGTATCTGAATACCACATGACTTTTCCTTTGTTGATCAGCATGTCACCCAGTAGAAACCAAATAAAACCAAGAATAGGGCTCCACATTTCTCACTATTCAAAGTCTGAAAAACGGTAAACTCCATAGATTTATTCTGCAGGAGAAAAATACATTTGCTCATTGCTAAAATGGATTAAAAAAAATGTTTGCATCAAGCCAAGGTAAAAAAAAATTTATTGTCACCCTTAGGGAAAATTCTTCTCAGAAAAGAGAAATTACTGTGTCATCACAACAACAAACACACTGTTAAAACATGTTAGACAATAAACAGGTTATAAATTCATAAATAACTGCATCCAGTGACCATCAAATCCAATAAGGTACCCAGTGCATTAGGTTAAGAGCCTCTCGAATCTTTGTGAAGGCACTCCTTAATATACTTCACACAGACAGGGGAACAAGAGTGCTTGTAACAACTGTGTAATTTTTGTGTGTGTGTGGATGCACGCCTGGTATTGCTCCGACTGTGGGGAACAACATCTGTTTACACAGTCGCATTGTGGGCAAAGCAAACTTTTTTTTATATAGCACATTTCTAAACAAAAACTAAAGCAGTCCAAACATATAGAAAAAAAAAATCAAATTAAAAATCACTGAATTTTAGGGTAGCAACTTTGATTAAGGTCAGGCAAGTAGCGTTATTGTTAAGGTAGGGATAGGTCTCCAATAAACGGCTGTAAGTCAATAGAGAGTTGAAAAATGTGTGTGCACGTCTGTTGTTGGAGTGAAGTCTCACTGGCTTTCACCAAGTTTAATTACTCAGTACAGTCAGGAGCTCAGCTGTCAGCAGCCTGCACCAATCACCTCTCTTAGGACTATACATGAGGTACAGTCAGCACACAAACACACACAGTGCCAAGGTGGTGGCTATTACAGAAAGAAAGTCTGCAGCTAATTAGGATACACACTACAAGTCCACTACCACTACACAATAACTCCTCCTCTATCACTGCATATGCACGAGCAGACATATTAGCCCAGTATCAGTCATATACTGCAAGCACTACAGTATCCACCCTGCCCACATCCTCTTTCTTCCTGTGAGTTCAGCCTGTCACCTCCCATTATTTTAGTAACAACATGCCTCATCTACTGACTGGTGATACACTAATCTGCTACTGCATCACTTAAGCCTGTTCAATACTACCATCTTGATTGTTGTAGTTGGTATCCCCAGTATGTGCTGAGCTACAATAACTCTCATTCTGAAGCATTACTACTTCCTTTTTAAAGAGAATAATTTAAGGCTGCATAAATGTTACTTTTCTTTTATGAAAGACCTCAAAATCCATCTTATGTTATTGTAACGGTATAATGTACTGCCGTGGGATACATTTAAAGTAGACAAAATCAGTGCATTATGTTTTAATTGGCAATACTGTATGTAGTCCAGTGTGAGCTAATCCTAGTTCTGGTATTGAGATATTTTGGTAAAACCAGAGTTTTCATAATCTGTGATAGGAAATGGTGAAGCAGAATCTAGACAGACACCAAATAATCCTTTATTTGTTTGGCTTCGTTATTCTGTTTACTGATCGTGTGTGTGCGCACGTGTGTGTGTGTGTGTACCTGATGGCCACGTCAGTCTCCAACCCTGTGACGTTCATTTGCAGAGCTCGCTGAAATGACCACATTGTGTTCTCTGGAGCGAGCTAAAAACACGCAGACACACACAGTAAAAACAAACACACGATCATTACTTAAATGTCAGTTCTGTAACAATGACCTGAACAGTGACTTTACTGGAAGCCCAACTGCTGCTGAGAAAGAAAAATGACAAATGAATGTGCAGGAGGGGGGAAATGAACACAGAACAATATTTTTAAGTAGGTTATGTTGCAATAGAAAAAAAAACAAAAATATACTTAAGGGTAATGTATCACAAATGTGCTCCATGTAAAAGCAGACTCCCTCCTTTGAAGACTGAAATGAAAACAGCAGTGCTGTGGATTGCTCTTCAACTCTACAGGGCAAGGTTATGACCAATACCAAGCCAAAAGCTTAAACAATATTTACTAGAAAAGCATCTTCTCATGAGAACCTATGAGTCAAACTACTGACTAGAAAACACAGGATAGGATGAACGCTCTAATCAATAAAGTCCTTCTGGGAAAATTGAGTCAGTCATGCCATTTTTTTCCTCCCAGTGGTAGTTTCTCACTGCCTCGCAAAGCCACTCCTAATTTTAGATTCCACTGTGACGTTCAATTGCACATGTACAGTGGGTACAGAAAGTATTCAGACCCCCTTAAATTTTTCACTCTTTGTTATATTGCAGCCATATGCTAAAATCAGTTAAGTTCATTTTTTTCCTCATTAATGTACACACAGCACCCCATATTGACAGAAAAACACAGAATTTTTGACATTTTTGCAGATTTATTAAAAAAGAAAAACTGAAATATCACATGGTCATAAGTATTCAGACCCTTCGCTGTGACACTCATATATTTAACTTAGGTGCTGTCCATTTCTGCTGATCATCCCTGAGATGGTTCT